AAACAAGAAGTGCTCCTCTTCCAGCCGTGGCCCTGCTGGACTCGCTGCTCTCACGCACTTCTGCTTGGATGTCGTTGCCGTCTTATCTGGCATGCGACGTCGTCGGCCAACATAAGAAGGTTTTGATCGCATCGTGCATAGCAGAGGTGTGCCAAGGGCGGAGTATAGTGAACAGCTAGATCATTGGCCTCTTGAATGCCCGGGGAGGCATTCCAGATAGCTGAGCAGCTGAAGCAGGAGGGCCGAGTTGTGTCGCTGATTTGTGGGTCGTGTGCCCGGCATGTGCTTTGAGGCAAAAGTGCCAGAGCCGCGAAGAACTGCCAATGGCTCTGGAACTGATGTCAGAGTTTCTTGGCCAGGAAATCAAACGGCCAAGAAGATGGCCTGACAGTCGAAGAGTTTGGGCCCTTGCAGTCGTTCAACATCCCGCAGATGTGATTGCAGCACCAGTAGCAGCCAGTAGCATGGCTGATTACCTGCGACCGCTGCCTGATTTGCAAGGCGTGATCGAGTGATGGGCGAGTTCCGTGGCGGCGTGACCCAGGTCCATTTTTCATCACTTTTCTGAAATGATTCGAATTTCGAACGGTCTTTCCCTAACTCATGAGGCCGCTTCTGCGCTGGCGACCTACTAGTGTTCGCTTTATCTCGCATCGCTTGGTCGAAGCACGCATCGGTAAGCGTCCACACTTGGGAATCGCTTCAAGCAGTTACTTTTCCATGTATATTCAGCCTCTACAAGGGGAATGGCTGGTCTTGATATGTTGTGTTGCCACTGATGTGTATCTCAAGCGGATCTTGAAATTTGAGGAGAATAAATGGTAGTGCTTAGCATGTACTGATGTGAATTCTCGCCGCTGATGTGTAATTCCCGAAGACAGCATCCACACTCGGGTGATGGATGTTCTGACCGGTTGATGTGAGTTAGACCTGATACTACCTTTTAGTGCGTCAGCTTGCTCAGTCTCGACAGCTGCATTGCAGGTTCTGGTCGCGACGGACGTCCTTTGCCGTGGGATCGATGTGCCCCAGGTGAGGTGTTCGTTTTGCGGTTTTTTTTGTCCTTTGAGTGCCTTCTCACGAGGGCCAGTGGGAGACAGGTCACCCTGGTAGTGAACTACGAGATGCCGCTCACGCGAAACTGGACTGTTGCCATGGTCGGCAGCCGAGAGCAGCGAGAGCCCAGCGAGACCTAACGAGTGGCGGTCGTGTCGGCCCGTGTCAGGATACGTACCTGCATCGAATCGGAAGGACTGGCCGGCCTTCGACCTAAACCTGCCGCGGCTGCCGACACCCCACATCTTGGGCGCCTTGCGCCACGCCTGGGCTGCTTGAGGTTCGGCCTGAAAGGCGTTGCGGTGAGCCTCGTCACGACGGATGAGATCAAGCACGTGCAGGAGGCGGAGCCCCGAGCCCGACCGGGCCCAGATTCTCTCATTTTAGACATCGCCGGTTTCAGGTCATGGAGCACTACCAGTGCAGAGTCCAGGAGATCGACTACGACTGGGAGGAGTTTCAGGACAGAAAGGGAGAAGCTCAAGGCTGCAGCTGCACAGACACGTCAGTGAAAGGAGAAGCTCAGTGTTTTGCGTGTGCAACAAGAGCCGGATGGAGAGTGAAGATTGAAAAAGCCAGTTTCACGCGAGTTCACAGTGGCGGATGCAGTGTGTCTGCAGCATTGAAGACACATAGAATTAAAGCCTTCATTGAACTTAAGAGCCTCAATTCCTCCGAGCCAGGCTGCCCTCTGCCTCCGTGTCCTAGCCCAGGCAGTACGAACGGCAAGAGCCAACATTTAGTTACGGCGCCTGGTGGATGAAGGGAAAAGATGGAGAGTTCTACTCATGAGGCTTGTTTTGGTCGATGGAGCTTCATACGCCTCGATCCGCTAGCCTCGCGCATTCCGCATGCCTGGCGTCTCAGCAGTCGTAGATTTTCGTAGCCATGTTAGTGTATGCAGCCCAGACCTGAGACTCAGCGATGCTTCCACACTCCCGAAGCTGAAGCTTCATCTTTCCCTCTGCTTGGGCCCTGTTGTCTTTGGCATCTGGCCATGCCGAAGGGAGATGGGCTTGGCTATGTCTCTAAGGTGGGCTGTTAGATGTCCGCAGCGACAGGCTCGACCGCCACCGAGCTAGCATGGCAGGATTATGCGGACCTTTTTCGAGAGCTGAGTGGGGAGTTCGCGCACAAGGCCAATTCGTGCCTCGATCTTGATTCGACGGAGTGATCGCTGAGTGCATCACGAGCTCGATGTCAGGATCCTGTGCAGCTGAAGCCGCCATGCCGCATGCGAAAAGGTACAGCCGAGGAGCCGTGCGACGCTGTCTCTCTTTGGACGAATGCTTGCGTTGCCACAGGAGATGTCAGTTCGGCACTTCCCGTTCGGCATCGCGCGAGTAAAGCAGCCTGCTAAGAAAGCTTGTGTGTCGAAATGGCTGCCTGCACAGGCTTGTTTGCAGTTCAGTTAGACGCCCTGAAGCAACGTGCGTGCAAGGCTTCGCATGCGTGGTGGTGACATAGCGATCGAAGATGTGGCGAAAGGAGAGTACATGAAATGGAGCGTTGCTGAGGCACGATCTGCGCCTCTACCTAGATGCTAGTCTGGTGCTCACGACGAAGTTGAGTTCGAATGCGCAGCAAGATGTCAGGCGCTCTCGCAAAGCTTCAAGAAGCTCTTGCAGCCTGACTGCATGGCAGCTGTGTTGTCTTTGCAGCTACAGGAAAAGCATATTGCAATTTCGCTCACAGGCAGGCCGATCGTCAATTGTGTGTAAGATGCACCAGTTTCACCGCAGCTGTGGCCACAAACCCGTGCCATGAGCCATGCTCAGGAAGATCGCGGTTCCTCCGAGCTGTATTCTGGCCTGCACGGACGAGATCGAAGTTCTCTCCGTGTCCTGATTTACTTTGGCTCTTGTCTTCGCAGAGTGAGTTTCGGCAGCAGAGGTGCAGCGCCCCAGCCTGGGCGATTGCCTTTGGCAATTCTGTGAGTTTCGTTTTGACTACAAGGCCTGGCCTGCAGAAGTTCAAGCATTTCAAGCCTTGCGCAGAAGCATCTTTGTGCGACTTGGAGGTTGATACGGCAGACCCCGTTCCCTTGCTGAATGGCGTGTGCCTTCCTCAGCAGTCCAGCAGTACAAGCTACTTGCAAGAGCTGAATGATTTTCGGGCCCCATGTCTGCATCCAAGGCTTGCCAACATGGCAGACTTTGAAGCCATCTTTTGCCAGCAGTTGGAGCAGCTCGATAGAAGAATGGTGTGCACTGGCCGGCGCAAAAGACTCGACAGGTCTTCTTTGGTCTGGGTTGTCAGTCGTTTGTTGGTGCTCCTTCATGGTCGGCGTGTCGCAATTCAGAGCTTGTCGCTTTGGCGGGTTCTCAGATGCTTTTTTGGCATCGGTCGGCGGGGTCCGCAACGTCTTGCAGTTCAGTACTCAGTGTCTCATGTCAGCCATATGCACATCAGATCTCGTCGGAGCCGGCTGCCGCACATCCCATATCGACGAAAGTCCAGTCCAGAGTTCGTGATAAGAAATGACTTGATTTGCTGCTGCGAGTCTCGCAGGGCTTCCAACCATCAAGCCAAAAGAAGAACCAGCCTCGTCTCGGCGAATCCGTAGGTCCAAAGCTCACTACTGGTAGGGTTGTTCCAGTTGCAAGAGCAGTGTCAGTGTCAGACTGCGATTGGTTGTTGCATTTGACGCAGATAGCCTTTTGCACAGTGCCAGTACAACAAGGAACGAGTACCCCAAAACACATCTCCACTCTGGAAAAGTATGTGTATGCATGGATGTCAATGTGCTCTCAGGACGAGATTCAGAGATGTTTACCTTCTCACGGCTGCTTGGCGACCTTTGCGTAATGTTGCAGTTTGCGATTACGATTAGACACTAGTCATGCTTGCGTGCAGATTGGTTGGAGATCGTGTCTGTCTGGGAATGGTAGCTCCAGATAACATGCCAGAAGAGGTCCTTGGCCTCGTCAACAAGCGCTTCTTATTGATGGAGGGCGGGGCCATCTTAGATGCGATCTCTCTCCACAAGGCTGGCCCTTCTCTTCCGTGAGCGCAGAGCGCCCTGAGATGTCGCCGCTGGTCAGGCAGCCGAGGCCAACGATGTCGAGGCAATCGCCAGGCTGGCCAATCCCAGCAGCATCAACAGAATCCTCAAGGCGCCCACGGCCACGGCAATGACACGGCAATGACACGACTCATGGAATTATTATCGCCCGGTGAGTCCAGACTGAAGAAGTTTGGACCTCAGATGTCCGTGCAAGACGCAGGCCGACCGGCTCCCACGCGGAGTGCTGAACGAGGACGCTGGGACGCTGCTTGATGCTGCATGAGTTCGATGACAGAGTTGAAGAGGCTTTAGGTCATTCATGGTCATTCTGTTTTGCTTGAGACTTGGGTACTGACGGCTGTACAGGTAGGTCGCTGCATTTTTTGCTGCAGGTGCTTTTAGTGATTATGGTGTTTAGACACCTAGACAGCAGACATTGGGCAGACAGAAGACAGAACCAGACATCCTGTTACGGCAGCATCCTGAACGTGGTGTTCATGCTGATCAGCCCAAGTGTACGTGTGCATGCAGTTGCAGGCTGGTGCAGTACGCAGAGATCTGCCGCTCACACTTTTGCACCACTGCACTCGCACGGGGTAGTTCTGGGACATGTGCACCTTTCAGCCTGCAAAGAGAGCACAAGCAGGACGAGACCTTTTCAATGGTTTCACTGCAGCGGACACCTTTGCTGGCTGCTGCGGAAGCGGGTCATGCTGAGGCATGACCTTTTGAAGACTTCCTCTGTGGTCGGAATAGGCAGTTGCACTTCCGATTGGCGAGTTGCTCTGAGTGGTGGGTGATTTAACTGGCTGCACTTCCCAAAGGCGGCGCGGCGGCTACTAGATGCGAAGGCAGAGGCGAATTACCAGGACCGCAGAAGAAGATGTGGTGTTCGTTTGGAGGCTTGATGGCTTGGCGTCTCTCTGCGGTAAGGCATCATCGTTGAAGCCACGTGCCGCAGCTTGCAGGATACATCTGGTTTCCATGCTCTCTACCTTGCAGCTGGAGCTCCCAGTGCGCAGGAGGCCTCACAAGACGTAGCCGAAGCAGCTCAATCACGCGCATGAATTGAACAGACTTGACGAACAGACTAACATCGGACATAAGGTGGTCGGATGATGGGCTTTGCGTCTGTAGTGCAACAGGCTGTGAAGCTTCTCCTGGAGCAGGGCGCCGACATACAACTAGCGAAACTTTGCAGCAATGCAGAGGCCTGACCATGAAGCAGGGTGAGGTCGTTCTGCCTGCAGCCAAGGAACAGAAGTCGGCAACCGAGTGAGCGGTCACGTTGTAAGCCATCTTGTGTAAGTACGTATTCTTGACCGGCTGAGTGACTTACTGCAACTCCGACCTCATGACTAATTACTGCCAGCGGCGGCCATGCGCGCTTCCTGACCCAGGCGGCTACACGGCGCTGCATAACGCTTGTGGATGCGGCCAGGTTGACAGCATTCGAGTGCTGTTGGAGGCCGTAGTTACCATTTCGGCAGATTTGGCCGCTTCTGGTGATTTGTAAGACAGGCCCGCGCAGACCTGAATATGAAGAGCCGCAGCGGAGCGGCTCCGGTACACGTGGCTGCCGGGCGCCAAGGCATGCCAAGGCTTCAAGGAGAGGCCCGGAGGCTATCGGAGGCCCGTGGAGGCCCCGGGTGGAATCTGAGGCGATCAGCGATCGTCCCGTGTCCCTGGAGGTGCAAATATGCTATGCTGCAGTCTACGCCGCTACACAAACAGCTTTGCTGCTTTGCTCGTGTGAACGTACAGCGGCGCAGCAGGTATTGAAGCAATACAAGTCCAATCTGGACATGTCAGCACCCTATTTCGAAGAATGGTGCTGAGTGCGGCTCTTGACTTTGCTCTTGTAGACCAAGGCCAGCAGTCGGCGGAAATACGGCCGTGCACGAGGGTGTTATGCAGACTCTCGGTTCGAAGTCTAACAGGGCAGCGACTGCGCAGTGTGTCGGAATGTCTTCAAGTGTCAACATCCTGAGAAGCTGGGAGCAGTTCCGTGGGATTCTGCCCGAGTAGACTGGGAGTTGTGTTGGGACGTTTGCTTTTCCCCCTTGGGGCAGTTCCGAGGAACAATCCAGGGATCATCCAAAAGCTCTTCGAGCTCAAGGCCACGCACATCAACGAGGGGGCTCGCTTGCTCTAGCTACTCTAAGCTCCTCTTCTCTCTCTGCCACGATCTCAGCAGCCTGCAGAAGTGCCAGGCAGACATCAACATTGAGAGCGGCCCAGACAATCAGTTTGCGACACCGCTGAAGATGGCGTTGGACAGGACAGCAGAGCAACGCAGATGAGGGCAGAGAGTTTTTGGTCTTCCCAGTATCTTCCCTCACTGGCACTGAATGCTCTCTGTGTTTTCTGTTTTTGTTTTGCTTGTTTGCTTGCTTACTTGCTTGTTTCTTTGCCATCTCCGCTCCAGTCCCGTTTTTGTCTTGTCTGGCAACTGCAAAGAGGTTTCAAAGGCCATCTGAGTAGCTTACACTCCGACCTTGCAACTGCGACAATTTCGGGAGGGAACCGCAGCTACTTTGCTGCGCCCCGGCGTCCCGTTGAGGGCCCGATGCCCAACGAGTCTGGTCTCTTGTTGGCGGTCACTGGAATGGCTTCACGAGTCTTGCAGTTGCCGGGACGTGCAGTTTGAATTGAAACGCAATGCGGCTTGAACTTCTGTGTGATTCTATGGATAGATAATCGGACAGACAGATAGATACACAGATAGATATACGTCATGCATAAGGAGGGGGGCAGGCTTGTGGGCTGGCTGCTGCACAGTGCACCGGGCCCAAGCGTCTCACCTGTGGCTTTCAAAGTCCGCAGGAAGAAGAAAAAAGCTGCCAAAGTGCTGAAGGATCTCGGGGCCATCGAGCAGGTGGGCAGTGATTTTGCATGCCCCAGCTGGCTGCGGATCATGCCAGGTGCCTGGGGGCAACAGCACTGGCGAGGTCTTCGACAGCGCCAAGACGAGCGATTTCAGGCTCCTGTTGACCGGTCCTAAAGGTGAAACGTAATCGACTGAGAGCATCACTCACAGTGAACTTGTCTCGGCATCATCCGTGCATCCATACGCCATGAGCATCCGTACTGGGGGCTGGAACTCCTGTGGAAGTGTGAAGTTTTGGAACTGTGTGGGCACAACCCTGAGAGCTGCGGCTGCAGGGAATGTCAAGTGTAAACCTCAACCCTAAACCCCAAGCCGTGAACCTTGAACCCTAAACTCTAAACCCTAAACTCTAAACCCTGAAAAACTATAAAGACCCTATACCTGACTAGACTCACGGGTCCCAGGCCAGGCTGCAAGGTTCTCTAAGGGAGCCACCGCGTCCGCCGCGTCCGCCGTCGGATCCGCCGTCGGATCGTCTTTAAGTAAAAGCCGCTCTGAGCTCCGGGGTTTTCGTGATTTGCAACTCTTTGGCGTTCCGACGACCCTCCTACGAGGAACATCTCGCGTGAAACTGCGCCCACAGTCCAACCTTGAATCGGATTCGGTCACTACCAGAGGGCCAGCCTCCAAGCCTTCAGGAGTGCTGTTCTAGTCTGGCACGGTCTGGGCGGGCGGTTCAGCAGCGCAATCTTCTGCAAGCCCCATATCGAAGCCATGTCAGCATCCACAGGCGGAGAGCACTCGCTCACAGTAGCTTCTCTGGTCATACTTCCAAATTTGCTACGTCCCCGCACGGCCGGAAGGGCTTGCAGGCTTGGCGTGCAGGCTTGTGCATCCCACTTGCGACATGCCCGCGAGGTGCAGACACTGTATGCACAGCCAAGGAATCTAGGAAAATCTGACAGATCATGTTTTATGATGGCAATCCGAAGCTGAGTTTGCTTCACTGTTTCTTAACTAAAGTGTCGCCCCCGTCGGTGGAGGTTGAGGCGGCGGTCTTTGCGATGATGCGACGACCATACGATTTCCATGCAGCGACGGAGAATCCTTCATTGTCTTTGCTCCAAGGAGTGCTAGGAACGCACATAATCCGACTGCTGTGCCGCTTAGCAGAGCAACGCTTCCGGTAATGCTGATGCAAAGACTTCCTGATCGTGTTCTGTGTGTGCTGCCGTCGCTTTGCAACTCGGTTTCTTCACATGTTGCGCATCAGCGGCAAAAAAGTGGTGTTTGCGCACCCCTGGTGTGGACGTTTGCGCATGTTAATCTGGCAGGCCCCTGTCGTGATCTAGAGCAAAGCTGGTGCCTTCCATGCGAAGTTCATGTGCAAGTGCTGCAACATGCTGTAGCTCTAGCAATCAAAATGCAGCTTGACCCGTTTCCAGAGTGAAGCTGTCTTGACTTGCTGGCACTTTCGCCACAGACGCTGCTTGTTCGTCCTTGCATGCTTGAAGCAATGAGCTCACGCAATTTTAAAAAACCAACTCCATCTTGTTGCAACGTATAAGCTGCAGCCCCTTACAGCTACTCATGCAAGAGTCACATCAGTGCAGCTTCTTGCAAGTCTTTCAAAAAGGCCTGCTGGGACATAAGACTAGCAGCTGCATCATGGGGCGCACCGATGCTGCCTCCCGGGCATAGAACCTCTGAGTCCACGTCTCAGTGTCACCTGAGATGACCTACGAAGCATCTGCCGTCCGTGTTGGGCTAAGGCGATGAAGCGAGATGGTCCCGAAGACGAGTAGCGGTGCTTAGTCAAAGCTAGGACTTGAGCACCCAGCTCTCGTCAGCCGCGTCTGAAGAAGGCTGTTCTTGGGTTTTTTCCTTCGAGGCACGGTGGGCCACCCCAGAAGCGGCCGAGAGGGCGAAGTCCCGGGAGGGGTGAGGCAAGGCTGAAGACTTGATGCTAAGCTTCGAAAGCGCCTGAACACCCTACCAGACCGCCTTCGGACGAATAGTAAATTGGTACCCGGTGAAGAAGTATGGGCCTGGAGCCTGGCATATCGGCTGAGTAGGATTGCGGCTGGCATTGCCTCGGTTCCTGCTGCGCAAGGTTTATCCAGTCCAACGTTGCGGCGAAGGAGATTGCTCTGCAAGCTGCCAGCTCACGTATCGATTGATCTAGTGTTTCCCCAGTGCACCATGTACTGCTACGAAGGAAGACAAGTGCAAACTGCTAGGATCGTCAAGGATCGTGTTTCTGACAGCTTCAGGACGTCTTCTTCCCCAGGCAAGCTCTCCCACCTGAACTTCAGGAGACCTTGGCCAATTGACATGTCGGCCTTGCACGGAGTGCGTTGCAATGGCTTGCACTCTTTTGACGGAGTGCTTCCGGCTAAGTGACGTGAGCAGTTCCAAGAATGCTGAGCATAGCCGCAGGAGGTGGAGTTCGACCGGTTGAAAGGCATGGAGGCCATGCTTGCAATCGGTGGCTGTCGGCATGCATCTCTTCGCGAAGTCCCTGTGCTCCAATTCTTCTCTCGTCCGTCCCTCCCGCAATCGTAATTCCTGACGAGCACATTGAAGCCCCGCCGTAAAATCATGCGTTCTGTGAGGGAAAGGGTTATGGAGTTGCGACATGGTGAAGTTTCGGTTCGACCTCGTCAAGTGCAATGAGCACATGCGATGTGACCAGGGAAACGGTCACTCTGGAATTGCGCACCCTCGTCGTAGTTTCTATTCGTTTTTTGTTGCTTGTGGCTGTCGGCCTGCACGTGCGGATCCAAGCCTGGGCCTAGCCGTTGCTCCTCTCATCTTCGAGCAGCAGCGCCAGCACATTGATGTGATGTTCAGCGAAGACCAGAAGAATGCAGAGTGCACAGCCTCCTGCATAATCTGTACACCTTGGGAGGTCTCCTTCATTTTCACAGAGAACGAGGGGAAGCCCCGAGCAGAAGCTGTGACACCTGTTTCGCAGCGCCCGGAGCCTTACACTGAGCACGCCAGACCGTTTCCAGGAACCGAAGCCAGATCTCAGGACAGAATCGTTTGCCAACCCCGCCGAGAAGACGCGAGCGTGAAGGCGGCAAAGGCTGAAAGTGTACCCTTAACCCCTGTATCCCGAAGTCCGCAACGCTGAACCCCATGCCCCAAATTCCGACAATCCCGAAACTCTGCAACGCATTGCAACGCTACGAACATATTGCTTCGCGCATGCATTTTCCTAAGGAGGGAACAGACAGGAAGGGATCATCTGAAAGCTGCTGCTGCTGCTGCTGGACCACAGCCATTGCATTGTTGTGATTGTTGCTATTTGCATGAGCTGGATATTATTCGTCTTACAACATAGCACCAGCCTATATATCGTTCTCATCGTTCTAGTCACTTGTACTGTCAGCGTGACCATGATTATTGCCTTTGCCATCTATTCGGCTCATCCTCCCTGCCCTGTTGCAAGGGCGTCCGATGGAGGCACCACCTCCGCAAGAGCGCTTGCCGCAGGGCTCAGAGATCAGTCGAGTTTCGGATCTCGGGAAGTCATCGTAGGTGACTGCTGTGGAGCTTGCAGGCTTCCTGCATGCTTCCCTGTCAGTTTGTCTCATCTGCTTTCCGAGAGCGCCCGAGCCGGAGGAGGGGGAAGTCATGGCAGCACACCGTCTAAAGCAACGTACTGGCAGAACTGGAATTCCGAAGAGAAAGTCTTCCAGCAAGGCCGGCAGTCAAGATTGGAGTGATCCGGTCCTATGACACGAAGAAGGCATCATCGGATGTAGCAACAGAAGCAGCAGCAGGAGTAGTCGTCGTGGTAGGAGTAGTAATGGTACTTCTTGTACTGCTTGTACTGTTACAACAACAACTGCTACGACTACTATTGCTGCTACTACTACTACTACTACTACTACTACCACCTCTACTGCTACCGCTACTGCTACCGCTACTGCTACCGCTACTGCTACCGCTACTGCCACCGCTACTGCCACCGCTACTGCTACTGCTGCT